GAGGTAGATTCAGCAATCGATGCAGTTTTTTTAATGATGAGATTTTACCGTAATGGCATTTCAAAATAGTTTTTATGTGTTAATTTATTGAAGAAAGACGATTGAGAATTTAAGACTGAAAATCGCTGATTAATGATGTGTCTGAATAGGTTTTGGTTGGGTTGTTTTTGTGCATCATTTTGGTTTTCATTTATGTGTTTAAGTTATAGTGATGATGGTCAGTTTCGAATGATTATTTTAGACGTTTTTAAAAAATAGCAATGAAACGTCTCTTCAGATCAACTCTTATCGACCGAGGACGGTGTTGTAAGATGGAATGCGTTCTGTTTACAACGAAAATACTTCAGTTGTCTGATCGCAGTTCGTTTTGTTTTCGTTTTTGTGACAGTAAATCATTCATAACAATGTGATTTTTTCATCATTATCAGTTCGTGTGTCGAACTTGTAGGTCATTTTTGGTTATGTCCAAGGTATTCAAAATGATGTTTCGCATTTGAATTGTGTATAATCAATTGAATTCGATTTGCTCTCATTATTTCTTTATTCGTTTCTTAATTGATTGTTCTCTCTCGTTAAAATGGTAATCGTTGCAGCCGAATGGTCAACCAAAAGATGAACAGTGGAAGACGGAGTGTGATCGTTGGACGACACGAGTGATGGCCATGCTACCGTACAAATCAGACATCCAACTTCCGCAGGCCGTTTTAGATAAGTGGCAAGAAAACGGTTATCATTTTAGCAATTTAATTATTTCAACTGTTTTGGTTGTTTAAAAAACGAATTTTTCGCTTGAATATTAGTCTTGATGAGCGTGGAGAGTTGTTGTTGTTGCTGCAAGATTGTTTCCACAAATATTTGTTCGATGTCAAAACTTGATCTTGATGTTGTCGATTCTTTGTGACCTCTTTTTTAAGCGATTCTGCTCGAAAAAACGAAATTATTGGAATGAATTTTCTTGTGATTCAGTCGTATGAATATTGAAGAATATTCTATTGTAGTCATATATCCTCTTTGTCATCCTGCATATAATCGTTTAGAGCAAATCACAAATAAAATACGTTTATAGTGACGTCAAAAATGGCAAACTATCATCTGCGACGCAGTTTGGCGATGACTGAAACGGACCGTAAACGATTATCGCTTCATTCAGCAGTTATTGATTCGAGGTATTTTTTGCTGATTTTTGTCATCATTTTCAGGTTTTATGCTATCGTTAACCATGTTATTATTGTAGTTAACATTCCTTTCATTGCTCTAATTCTCAGGGTATTCCCAAATCGTAAACGAATCTCCACTGAAAACACCTCAGCGGACCTAAATGCACCGGAAGTGAGTCGAAGACGACTGAACAGAGATGGCAATGAGAACAGTCCAGTGTTGGACGATAGAGCTGCTCGATTGGAAGAGTACGTGCATTTATTGCTATTGTTTTGCTTTTGCTAGATCAGCTGGTAGATTTGTTGATAGATCAGCTGTTTATGATTTGTTAATAGATTTAAAATTCAGTGTTCAATAATTGTCATTCGATTGTTTTGTCATCAAGTGAATTTGTCATTCATATTATTACTTTAACCGAGCATTAATATGTTTGTGCTGCTCGTTTCAATTTGGGCATTTTTTGACCATTATGAACTGGATTAATTGATGGTCAGTAGAAAATTTTTTAGTTTCTTTTGGCTCTATATGAAGAGTCATTCTCAAAAACCCTCGACTTTCTCATTCTGTAGAAAAGCTAAGGAACATTTTGAAGAATTGAATCAAAATTTATTGAGTTAGCATCGTTCGAGTTGAGCTTTTCAAATGATATTCGCATTTCAATTTGTCGAATTTTTTGGAATTTCGAATAATTTCGGCATTTCGAATGACTGATTGAAAGCGATCGTGTTTTGCTTTGTGGGTGGAAAGGGATGATAATTTGTGATGAAATTGCAGAGCACTGCCCGAAGAAGAAATGGAAAGTATACGTCGCGTTCTGCAAACACCACCATCTCGTCGTCGTATGATGCTCTCGAACCGAGCCGTGTTCGGTGATTCACCGATGACTTCTCCTATTGCATCCTCATTATCGGTACCAGCCCCAACCTCTATCCTCAAATCGAATAGACGTAAAGATGTGATCAATCCGGACAATGAGCAAGGTTCGGCGATGTTCATCGTCTATTTTTTGCCTTATTGTTAGCAGATTTTCGTCCCATTTGATTTTCTTCAAAAAGTTGGGAGAAGGGAGAAATTTGATAAGTTTTTGTCAAAAATGTTGCGAATAGGAATGAATCATTTGTGGTGAAATGAAGAATTTTGTGGTGAATGGTGTGCATGAATATCGTGTCGTTTCGGTCTTCGGAGATGAGTAACTGTGAAGTATTAATCATTGATCGAAAATATTTCATGTTTATCAGTGAGTTGAACGTATAAGTAATCAAAAAATATTTCATGTTTAGTGAAAATTAGGAAAAATATATCATCATACAATATGTTTATTACGTTAGTGAGGCTAGTGAATGTCGCATTTCGGAGAGATCGGTCGAACCAGAAACATTGTTTTTTATCGTTTCAGGCAGCGAACCGAGACCTCGACTACGTTTCCATTTACCATCAAGCCATACGAACTCGTTAGTGTGCTTGTTCCCTTCTTTGTTCTGTCTGTTCCTTTCAGATTGCATTTTCTTTCCCATTCAGCCGACTTCATTGACAAATTGTTGTGTGATTTTTTAAGCATCAATTTTAATCACGGTTCATTGTAGTGGTGTTTATCGCTAAAATAATCACAATGAATGCTTTGCAGAAGTACCGATTCACCGTTGTCCGAGAGTAATCTTATTCAAAGTTCGGAAATGAAACAAGCGATTCCACAGGTACGAACGACTATTCGATAATCACAGAAGATCCTCATCGAATTCATTTTTTATTTGTTCACTGAGAAATAAACCGATCCTGTTAAGAGCAAAATGATTTCAGCAACCAGATTTCAATTACGAATCAGACGATGACGAAGAGGAAGAGCACGAGTTAGAAGACAGCGTGATTGTGCTAGAAGATGAAGATAGTAAAAAGGTGTTAGCAGATATCGTACATCCGACAGCCGACGATTCGATGGGAATTGTTGCAGAAGGAACGGTTAGCTGATCTGGTGATATTGCAATTGTTTTCATTAATAATTCTTCTGTTTAGGTGTTTGTAAGGAAATAGTGAGCTGTAGAGAGAGATTGTTTTGTTTTCATGGGCAATTTGTTGTTAATTGAAATTCAATATTCGGCTAGTTGTTTTTCTTTCGATCAGATAAATTGCGGTATCAAAAATGCAGAAATTTCAGCAATTTTTGCTAACGGTATTGCAATTTTCACATTTCTGTTTAGCAATGTTTCTGCTCATTTGCATAAAGCAATGAGTGTTTTGTAGAGTGCTTCGGAAAATTGTTTCATTTGACGGAATTGTTGTATATCATTCAAATATCAAAAGTTGTTGTGTGAAATGTTGAAAAATTGATAGTCGTGTTTGCAGGAAGCAGTTGTTATGAGTGAGGAAAATTCAAGTATCAAAAATCGGAGTTACGAAGAACAATCTGATGAAAGTGGTGATGAAAACGAAGAAAGAGAATCGGAGAAAGTCGAAAGCAAAGAACGAAAGGATGAAGAAATACCGGAAGAGACCGGAGACGATTCAAACGATAGTGACAGAGCAAAGAGGATACTGTCGGTTATCAACAGCGGATTCGATATGCAAGATGACTCTTTAAACAGTATGAAAATATCGCAAAGCGAACGTCAGCCGATTAGCACAACAAATCAAAAAATAGTTTACTATGAAGAACAAGAATGGGAAGATGATATTGAAATGGATGACGGTGAAAATAGATTAATTGAACAGAAATCGCCGGTTGAAACAACACAGCAGCAATCATCGAGTGGAGAGGATTCCATAATCAGTCGATCATTTGAGGAACAAGCTGAAGAGGATGTCGTTGATGAAGAAGAAGAAGGCGAAGACCGTTCAAAGAAAGATACTCTGAAAAAGTGTGCTGATAACGACGATATGGCGCCATCCTCGAAGGCGAAACATGATGATATCGCAGAGCCTGCGATGAATGTGGATGTGGATGATCAGTCGAATTTGGACTATCATCATGCAGTCACCTATCAAGTGATTGAAGAGAACACCGAGTGTGATTCGGCCAAACAACAGTCGTTTGAAGAACAGCAATGGGCATGTGCGCAAGTGATCGATGACTTAGATCATATGCAGTATACTGAAACAGCAACTGTAACAGTTTCAACGATTCAGCGTGAACAGACGTATGAATCGAGAGTGGGTGCTATAGAAGAACAACACGAGGAAGAGGATGATATGAGACAAGAGAGCGACAAGGGTCAGCAAGCAGCAAGCCAAAGTCAATTAATAGTTATTGAGACGACTCAACGACACCAACAATTCTCCGATGCCATTCCAGATGAAGATCGAAAGCGAATTGAGGAACTAAGAAAAATGGCCATGCAACTGGAACAAAAGAAGCATAAACGACCCATTGATTCTCAGTCACACGGAGCGGTTTTGTTGGAGACGAGACGCGATGAACAGGGACCAAAAAATACCGCAGACATGGCATCATCATCATTAGCGAAATCAAATGTTGTCGATCAGTCGGAACAATCAAGTTTATCCAAATCAGTGCAATCAGTGAGCAAAACGGACGTCGTCGAAGCAGCCACAATTGAATCGACGGGTGTTTCGGAACAAGTGGAGCCTCAACGAGATCTTCTCGAAGTCAGACCCGCCGCATCAACCAGAAAAGTGAGTAATGCCATACTTGATTTTCTCTCATGCTGTGCCTGAATCTGTTTTCTTGTATCTTTGTCAAAAATCGCTCCGAAAAATTGATTTGTTTCAATTGCTGATGGGTCGTTGTGGAATTTGAAACGAGTTTTCGCATTCCAATTAATTTGTTGAAATCGTTGATTTTGCTTGTTTTTCTTTAATTTAGCATTCTTGATTGTTAAAGTAATGATCGTTTAGTGATATCTATAAATGAATTATTTAGATTGCTCGAGGTGCTTCAGAGAAGCCACCCTCACCTCCGTCACATAGAAGAACATCGCGTCGAAGAACGCATTCAGAGAATCAATCAATGTAATATTTGTTTTTTATTTAAACGACAATTTTATACTTATCCTTTTTACTGTGCAAATTCTTTTCGAATTATTACTCTGGAAAACATGAGACAATACTTTAGCAGTTCTTTAAAACATTCCCTCAAAAGTGAGCAGAAATACATTGTCCATTTGTTTGTCTCTCTCACCTGTGTAACATTGATTGAGATGATCGTATTTTAAATTTTTCAGTGTTTCTCTGAGTTCGTCTCCAGTGCGAACGCCCGTCAAGGTTTGTTCCCTTTGAATGTGGAATATTTTTTTGGCAGTATCGATTCGTAATTTGCGACAATGATGGAAGGGTCATTTCGGAATCAGTCAGTGGTTTCGAATTAATTCATCGCTTATTTCAGAAGAGCACTCGTTCAAGGGGAGGTGTGTCGACAGAATTGGAACGGACGAAGGAGATGCCTGAGCTGAACGAAGAACGAAATGCGTTTGAAGCGGAAATTACTCCTCCCGCCATGCGTGAGTTCGCTTTGTTTTTTTTTTGTCGCTGTTTCAACCTTAATCTAGAGTGTCGAAAGTTGACAATTTCATTTGAAGTTAATTTTTGTGGTTTTTCATTTATGGTTGTTGATGTGCGGGGAAAGTCACATAGAGAAGATAGTAAGTGTTCGTTTTAGAAGATATTCCGACAATTCAAGTGACAGAAGTGGAAAGTAAAGAAGAGACTTTGCCAGATGATCCGGTCGCGTTTCACACACGATCTGCATCACGGGCTCGTTCACCAGCACGTGCAAGTAAGCTTCATTTATTTGAAATTACTTGTGGTTTGCTCGAAACCGAATGATGTGCGAATGTCACGGGCCTGAGATAGGCTATCATTTGGCCTGTATCTAGTTATCTATTCGAAAATTAGTTCATGCAGAAGAGTGAATTTGAAAATGTTGCAGTAATAGGGACTGAAATTCCTGAATTGTGTATTTATTTAATGTCGAAATGGAAATACTCGATTTTTGAAGTAGTTTCATTCGGATTTTGTTTAAGATAGTGTACGCCCGTCTTTATTATAATAGTTAGCGTACGTAATTATTTTCTGAAGAGTGATTTATTTGTGTGCAATGGATTTATTTCAGAGATGGACACTGAAACTACTGAACCAGTGACACCGACTAGACGTAGAACTACGCGAGCATCGTCGCAGGATAAAAGCGGTAAGTAGATTTTAGTTGGAATCAATTTGACGAACCGTTCTGGAAACTTGCTTGTTCTTCTCAAATACTCTTCAAGAGAAAGAGGATGTCTTAAGGATTTGCTTTCTGAATGTGTGTTAGTTGAGATGGCGGTATAATACGAGAAAATTGGTTCAGTAGCGGCAGATTTAGCTTGAAACGCATTGATTCGTCTTGCTTATCAAGTTATTTGGAAATCGATGTTATATATTTAGCTGTGGAGTCATAATCTTCATTGAGTGAATTCAATCGGAAGCGATTTGTTTGTTGTTGCATAACTAACAAACATTTTCGAAGCTGTGTATATTCAGCATGAAATTTTAGGTAACGCCACACATCTCACTACGGAATCTATGTCCAAAAGCACCCGACGCAGACTGCAGTTAACCTCTTCAACTGATGGTAATTTTGCGTTTGAATATGAATTGTTGAATTTCATTTATTGAAAATTTTGATGTGTATATGAATTGATTTTCTTTGAGAAGAGAGATTGATGGAGATGTATTGATAATTTGTTTGAGTTGTAAATTATCGATGACAGTGAAAAGAAAGTTTAGATTCTGAATCAGCGGCTCTCTCTGAACGAGCTGTATCTCCGAGTCGATCAAGGAAACGTAGCAATAGCAAGTCGCAGTCGCAAGGTTTGTGCGCATTGTGTGATTATTTTTGAAGAATTGCTTTCATCACTTATATTTTATCGTTTTTGTTCGTATCAAATTATGGAACGTTTCNTTTTTTGTTTGAAGATGTGGAACAGAGTGCAATGATGTCTGCAAGTGACACACCGACATCACGTTCGTCGTCGAGACTCAGTCGTCGCTCGTCAGTTTCACGCAACACTTCGCCTGCACGAGGTGAGATTCAATCTGATACGATTTGACTGCGTTTTATTACTCTTATTTGTTTTAGATAGCTTAGCTGTTGTTCAATTTTTTGTTCTTCTCTTTAAAACAATGAATTCAGCGTTTTTCATTCAGTCTATCTAATCGTAAGTTGAAATTTCCGAATTTGAATGTGGTTATCACGATGTGTGAAGAATTTGAATGATGTTTCATTTAATTTGAAGAATGTTAGTGGTTATCATGATAAGATTTTGCAGCGCTTACGGACTTGGAATCTGGAGAACCGACAACACCAACACGTCGTCGTAAACGAGCATCGTCAAACCAGTCTTCACAAGGTATGGAAATTGTTGAATTCGACAATTTTGATGTGGTGTTCTTATGTAACATTCGTTAGAAAACGTCCTCCTTGTTTGATGAATATTGTTTTGTTTAGTACGGATGGTACTGAATTCTGTGTGGTTTCGATGCGACGATATGTTCGTGATTTATTTCATTATTCATTGGTGTTGTAAGCTCTGGTTTAATCGTAATCGTTAGCTGTTTTAGAGGTGGACGAAGCACAAATTGAACAATCGTCCACAGCAAGCGGTCGACGTACACGTGCCTCAGCAAGTCAGTCACCAACTCTTTATATAATTCTTCATCTCTTTGACTTCCGTTAGCTTTTTTTATCCATTAAGGAAGAACTTTAATTCGCAGATATCATTTTATTTTTTGCCAACTACACAATCCCATTTGGCGATAGGTGATGAGTGTGATGATGTATAGATCATATAAATAAACGATACGCATCGTTTAAAGTACACTGTGTCAGATTTTATTTCGATGCAACATTGAGTAATGAAAGCTTAAACAATAGAATTATCAGTTCTTTGCGTATGTTGGAGAGTACATTTTTATTATGAATCAAGAGAATTTGCAGAAGTCGTAGAATCGCAAGTTGATGAGCCAGTAACTCCAACACGTCGCAGTACTCGAGCGTCAAGCAGTGTGTCGCGAGGTCGTTTAGTTTTTNTTTATGATCGTTTATGAAATTCGTCTTTTCCATACGTTATGACTGTTAACGTATAGTTGAATGTGATCTATTGCTTAAGAACAGTAGCAGTGAGATATTTATTTTGAAACAAATGATTTCATGTAGATAGTTGTTATTGATGTGAATGAGAAGGAGGGGGTGTGTGATCGGAAAATGGAGTTTTAACGATAACTTATTCATGTGTCATTTATAGATAATCGATCGTCATCTCCGGCGACGTCCTCCATACAGCACCGATCGCCCTCAAGACGCTCATCGCGCTCTTCATCAATTGCGTCAATATCAAGAAGTGAGTGCTTTGTTGTTTATTTGGTTCGCATTTGAATTATTCTTCATCTGAGTATTCTTATTCTAAAAGTGCTTCTGAACGAAGTAATTTTTAAATTTCGGATTTAAAAGTTACTTCACTTTTCGTTATGAATTGTGTAAACGATCGCCAGAATGCTGCTTACAAATGATCAACAACCAATCCAACAAATTTGCAAACCCATTGGGGATGGTGTTGATAAATCCTAATAGAATGTAACGCTGTGTTAAAAATGACAATTTTAAGAGGAGTTGAATGTTGTGAACCATTATTGTTTTTTATTAACAGGTAGTGTGTCTGAGGATACAATGTCGGTTACAAGTCAAAAACGCGGCAGACGATCAACTCATTCACCAGGTCTTGAATGATTTTTCTCTATTACCTTGCCCTTGCCTTCAGTTTGATTGTACGGATGTTTTAGTTAAGGGCGAAATGCGCAAATGTTAAGTTGACTTATTAATTGAATTGAATCAACCGTGTTAGTGATCTTTGTTGTTGAATGGGATATTTCACTGATATTCGTCATTGCAGCTGTACGACCTCTAAGTCCCATTCCGGAAAGTCATTCGTCGAGAAGTGCCACGCCTTCTACATCCAC